CACTGAGCAAAGCAGTTAAAATTTGGAAAAATTATCTGAGTTGCTCTGGTTAACAGAAAAGAAGCAGGATTAGTTCAAGAGAAGAATAGCACAGCTGTTGACCTCCTAGTTAGAGGGCTGGAGAGATGAGCACGTTCAAAAGTGAGATATAAATTAGGTAAATGTTCATATCCCCTTGAGAGAACGACCGGTTCAAGGGGCCAGAAGAGTTTTGATCAGCCTGTAGCCTCCCCTAACTGGCCACTCTTCACTAATTCTGCTTCATACCTCAAGGGGCTGTACAGCACATTAGATTAATCAATCCCCAAATAAAATGTTTTCTCTTAAAAGCAATTACTGCCTGGACTCGTACTGAAGAGGTCCCTCAAGCCTACCTGTGTAAGGATTTTCCACGAGCTCTACCACTCTAGCACCCCACACTACTCCCATGTTAGATCTGAAAGGGGAATGTCACGTAACCTTCACCGTCTAGGGCAGGGGTGGAACAGGCACGTGGAGGCTACCGTTAGCCGTGGTGTGGTCTGCCAGGGTGCCCCAGCGCCCTGCAGGTTGCTGCAAGAGCTTCTGGTGGGGAGGATAGGAGACACCCCCTCTCCTGCAAAGGACCATGGGCTCCCGCAGAGTACCAAAACCCGGCATAAATGTCACAGTCCAATTGCTTTTAATCAAATCTTACTGTGAAAGCAGCAAAGGGAGTCAGCCATGATCTTGGTTAGGAGATTGAACTCAGAATTATTCAAAACAAATGCTGGTATACAAGCCAGATACCTTTTAATATCAAGAGCATAGCCATAATATATCAAGTATCACTTTACGGGGTGAGTTTTAAATACGTTATACATGTTGAATCATATATTCACATACTGAAATGGACAGCACATTTAATGAGTAGCCCAGGTGGCTAGCGTAGATTTTGATTTAAAACAAGATTGCCAAGACCAAAATGTACTTGCCAAAATGGAAGTCTCTTTGGGTGCTCCCTTTATATGACTTTAGCTGCCCAGTATTACTGAAGCAGAAAAATGTCATATAGAGGATATATATTTATATAAACTCGCTGACTGTTTTTTCCATTTATACTCTGCAGTATAGATGGTCTATATTTGGAGATACTCCAGACCAAAAGGAATGAATATTGCTTTGATCCCATAAGCTGAAACCAAAAAATTTCTGTTTATACCTGGTCCAAGACTGATATTACGTATATTATCAACATAAATCAAACCTCCCCAAAGTGGTAAACTAGCAACCAAAACTTTACCAAATATAATCTGGCATAACCAGTTAGATATTTTATTCGTCTGGTAGTCCCATAAGTATGTTAGATGTCTATACCTCACACTTCATTAAGTACTTTCAGTTAAAACTGGAGGTATTAATAGCTACAAGAAACCGTGAAGATACACTTTTTTAATGGAGTGATGCTTTGAGAATTTAATTTTTAATGTTGTTAAAATATTTCACTACTTTTAAATTGCTTTAGGGATGAAGGAAAGAGTTGATATACTTAGAGTGGAAGACAAGGAAAGGAGTCAAGTACACCTGACCTCTCTCTGGTTTTCCTGTTGTTCACAGGCGCAAAGACTGAAAAAATACTGAAAAAAAAGTTTAAATCATGCTGTATGAAGGAATCTGAGCTGAATCAGTGAGACAACAAATTATAAAGAGGTAAAGCAGCAAACTATTTTAAAAAAAAGAGTAACTGTCCTTACTCACAGGTATGATTTGATATTCTGTTTTTCAGAATATGGTCATAAAGCACAGATATCCCACCCACTCCTCCAACAAGGAAAATGCTTAAAGATGGATATGATACTAACAAGAAGGAATGGCAATGACTTAAAAGCTCCTATTCCAAAAAAAAAAATCAAGCACATGAAAAATGAGTTGCTCCTATTCGGTATGAGCCACTCTGCAAAACCCATTCTCCCTTATTCCACAGTTAAAGCCAGAGGTCTGAATGAAACGGCACCAGGTACAAAGGCATTGCATATGCAGAGTGCTTTGACTTTTCAGTGAGCATCTCAGTGAACAGCACCTACCAGGACACCAGGAGCAATTACTGATGGTTTCCAGGCAGTCACCACAGTGGCCAAACAGCTCTTTGAGACTGTGCAAGGAAGCCCAGATGTCATCCTTCCATAACTAATAGGTTAGCACAAGAAGGGGATTTTTTTACTGAGACAAGATGAGTTGATTAGATAGTTGCTGGGGAGTATAAAATGACATCAGATGTGGCTTCAAGTCACGCTTTCTCTGGCCTGTGGGTGGGGTGCTGCCACCCAGAGCTGTCCTGCAACAGGCTACTTGACCTGAAGCAACAGGCTTCCTGCCCCTCTCATGGGCTGGACCCAGCTATTGGACCCGGGGGATGTGGTTCCATAAGCTGACCCAGCAGAAAACTATGTGGGTTTTGCTATTTTTGGCAGGTTAATTTTCCATTAGCCTGCTCTGCAACTCCATAATCAATTGATATGACTCAAAGGAAGCAGCAAGAATATGTGGCTAAGGGCAAGATGGGTTGAGGCCACCCTTTCCATGGGAGCCTGCAGTTACATCAGATTAAATGTAACGTGAAACCAACGTCTGCACTGGTGGTGGTAAGGCTGCCTCCATGAAATGAACACAGCATAGACCTAAATGGGCTTCAAGCCTGACTCACAGCTTCATGCTCCTGTGCTGTGTGTCTGAGGCATGCCAGGGCTCTGCATGGTTTGAACTGAGGGTCTTGGCCAGCACAAGTCCCACAAGACACGCTCCCTTCCTTTAGCCCCTCTGCCATACTTTCTCTCTCAGCTGCTCAAATACTGAGACAAATAAGAAGACAGCAGTAGTCCACTCCTTATTTCTACCAGGACTTCAATTTGTCCACACAAAACATAAGAGTAGATGATCTTTTCTTCATACAGTGAGATAAGGCATAGATAGGAAAGGGAAGCTCACATGGGTTATGGTCCATCAATGTGACCCCTGAGACAAACTGGTGCGTACACCAGTTTAGGCATAGAAAAAGGACCTCCTCTGGTTACCATTTCTGATCAACACCCTTAGAGGGAACTGGTGATGTTTAATTTTTTGGAACAACCTAAATTTATTTTTTTCTATTACATATTGTTACCACGACTGTTATGTCTGTGAATTCTTTCTCGGTCTATACCTCTTGTGGTCAGCCACAGAACAATTTTGATAGCTTGCTGGATGCCAAAGGGAAGTATATCTGCATTTGGCTAGCCAAAGAGATCTTCAAAGTCAACTTTAAGTATCAGTGCAGATGTACATGGTGGCTTCTACAATTACTTATGATTATCTGTCAGAGGACTGGTGTACATGTGTGTCCAGAAGAGGGGGTGGAAGAGAGATGGGGGTAATGACTAAACTATTAATGCTTTGTCAGAGAGAGTAAACATTGCTCAAAAAACTAAAATTTCTCTCTCAGACCACACAGTAGCAAAGCTCCTCTGTTCCTCCAGGAAAAAGCTGAAGTAGAAATGGCTGAGGAGCTTCATTCTTCATCCCTGAGCTGCAGTCCCATCTCTCCAGCAAAGATCAGCCAAAGGCAACTTTCATAGTACTGTCAGAGAAGTGGTTGCTGGATTTTGGAGAGGTAAGGCACACAGACTGCCCATTTCTTGTGCTTTTCTAGAAAGACAGCTGTAGACTAGCTTTAGATATTATCTGTATTCTCTTCCTTCCACAGATAATTTCTGGTTTCTCTCAAAAACAAAATTTGGGCATGGATTTTTGTTTTGGTTTGTGTACATTTCTTGCTTGGTTTGTTGAAATCTTGCTCCTTGCAGCATAGGTATGTGGTAAAAGTGCATGCTATACGAAGAAAACCTTGTCACAAAAGATGTGTTGTGCAAAAATTTAGTGAACTGAACTCCTAATTAAGAAAAAGTCCTTAGACCTGTCTATCATGTAACCAATAATAACTTCTGTTAAGAAAAATAATTTTCCAAGAGTTGGAATGCAAAAGGCTGCTATTTAAGCCCCAAAACATTCATTTGTAATCCTAATTCGGTGAGTATCATGCTGTTTAAAATAGAATGACTAAATGTCCTTTTTTTAAAAACAGTGCAATGAATTGCCTTTAAATTCTCCCTGAAAGACAATCACATTCAGATGTTCCTTGGCACCAATTAGTTTCAATGCAGCATTTCAAAGGTATTTCTTCTTCAAATAGCATGATATGTTATATAAAGTTATGTGGCTATTGGAAGGGAGCTCACGTACTGCATTAAGGTGAGAGTCCAGAATACTACTGGTATACTTAATGGCAAGTGCTAAATCACAGTTCAGTGAGGTCACATAATCAAATTCCAGATTACCCCTTTTATTACGTTCAGCTAATAAATCTTTGGAAACTAGAGCCTGACAAGTTCATCACAGCATTTTAACTTTTCAGTGGTGCATGTAGAATACATATACACATAGAATCTTACCAAAAAAAAAAAAAAAAAAAAAAAAGAAGCAAGTCCACAATGAGAACAGAAGAAAAAGTAGTCTTAATGTCAGATGTCACCAGACTGAAAAGTTACGCTGAAAGATGTGCCTACATTTTTAATTAGAACCTCCTCAACTGAAGTAGAGCAGTTTATCATTTAGTTCCAGTGAACAGATTTGTACATCAAACATTTCACTGCATTATGGATGGGACAATGTTAAATATGTGTTCACTGCAGTTCCACAGGTCACTGGCATAGGCCAAGACCATAAACTCAGACTATATAGTTAAGATTATTGCAACACAGCTATCGACCATGCAGCTAGCTCTACGGTAACTAACAGCATTTAATGCCTAGATAATACAGTTTCATTATCACAAACAAAATTAAAAGAGCCCTTTCCTGTATAGAGACAATCCAAGCAAAAGTCCGCACCATTCCACCAGGCTGTTAATTGAAATTTTTTCCACCAGGATTCAAAAGGAGGAGGGGGTTAAGGGAACTCACTGATATAGCAACATGGTTGAACACAAACCTATGCTGCGGAAGACTTACCATCATCCAGGTACATCTGGTCCAATTCCTCAGGTTCTCGCTTGATCGTTACAGGAATAGGGGCCAAATTATGATTACTTTCCTCATGCAACTCTGGCAATGACAGTGGTTGGGTTGTTGGAGACTCATTTCTGTGAACCTTCGGCAGTTGCTGCTGCTGTTGACCCATTATGGATGAATGAGTTGGACTGCAGGACTGCAAATAGGTTGGCTCTTGGGTAACAGATGGAACTGGAGAAGAGGGACTGTTGGGATAGAGTGTTTGTTGATAACCAAGGGGACAGCTACTGCTCAGATGTTGACTCACCTGCGGCTGCAGCATGATGTGAGATGATTGCTCGGGGGAGCTTGGGTGCACAACTATAGACCTTGGCACTTCCTGTATGGTGGGGACACCTCCAGCGGGCTGCTGAAGTCCGAGGTGACTGTGGCCCGGGTTGGGGATGCACTTGTAAGGAGAGGACGAAAGGTCATGCAGCTTGGGGCTTGCGTTGGGAGAGGGTGACATCACGGCATTTCTCTGCTGACAGGAGGCAAAGCCAGCCACGAGGCATGAACCAGGATCAGGGGGCATCATGATCTGCTGACTGTAGTATGGTTTAGAGAGAGGGCTTAAGCCTTGGTTCATTGGTCCACAGGTTTGAGCAGGCTCATAGTCATCTGTGGGTTCTGTTTTTATAATTGGAACTGTTAAAAGAAAAAAGTTTTACATAAACATAAGTTGCGTATTGGTATGATCAAGTTGGCTTGTGGCTAGGATACCCTTTGCAAAACAAACAACGTCTTGAATAAGACTCTGTGTGTCTTTTGCCTAATTCTCCCACCCTATAAAAAAAAATGAATGAGTCATCAGCACAAGAAAGTCACAGCTGGTTCTAATATTGAAAAGGACTATTTTTTTTGGACTCTCCTCCAACACTAATGTGCTATAAAAATCTATTTGCAAATAGCTGTGCTTCAGTGGAAGCTTTGGACCCAAGGGCTCCATGGATTTGTAGTAATCAAAGCAAGAATTTTAACTTGGATATACTACTGCATTTCTACGGCTACTGATGGCCCATTTGATAAATGTCTGCACATTCGGTAAACCGGAGCATAATAAGGTAGAGATGGGGCGTTCAGAGTTCAGTGAAAGTAAGAATTCAAAGATACATGACAAACTACTATGTACAAGAAGTTTTCAATTATGAGGGTATTTTTGGAAGAGTAGGGTTTGATTTATTTAGTTTTTACATGATTGTTTAATCTTAGTAATCAGCAAATGGGTGTAAAATATTCAGTAAGTTGCATCCAACTCTCAGTGATTCTAGGTTGGATCCAAACTGCTAATGCCAGATCCTAAAAAGTTAACTCAGTCTCTGGCTACCAAGAAAAACTGACTCCTATTCTAGACCTCTGCTTGCTCTACCCGTTGTCCCAAGAGGCTCTAATTGAGCTGCCAAGCCATGTCTCTAAATACCACCAGCACATAGATAGAAGGACTGTCTACGAGCATCAACTTGGTCATGACAAATGTAGAACTGCTTTCTCAAATCAAAGAAGAGATCCTTCCTCAAATCAAAGTGTCTTTTTCACATTGGCTTTCTCTCTCAAATCAGAGAGAGGTGCCTTTGCTGCTTCTCCTACAACATATGCAGTGCATGGGTAAAAGACATCCACTTTCTGTATCAGGAAAATTATAAATACCAGGGCCAAGCTAGTCTGTAGATACATTTTTTCTAGCCAGATGCAACTCTAATGCATACAACAATTGAGCATGGATGCACAGTGGCATTCATCTTCTTTCCCCAAACGAGAGCCGGAGGAACAGCTGTCACTTGAACGTGCTGTTGGTAATTTACAGTGACACCAGAGAATATCTTTCAGAATATCAGAATAACCGACCTGTTGTGGCACAAAGTTATTAATGAAACATCTTTGCACAACTCAGCTCAGGCACATACATGTTGCATGAGTGTCTCTGACTGTATTTTTATTTGCATGTGTTTTACAAACACCCTTATACATTCTCCACTCGTTTACTATGTTTGTCTATGAGTTTTTTGAACCCCTAAAAATGCACATGTGTGCATGTGTACACATAAAACCCCTTTTAACACTCACAAATTTTGCTGCTGGTGAATGCACTTCACTAACCTTGTTTTACAGTCCCCTAGCCCCTTGTTAACTTTGCTCCTTTTATGTTCTTTTACATATAGATGCTTGCAACACTTGTTTCAAGATTTCTAGCACCCCTAGTAAAAACATATCTATATATGTAACAGATGCACAGGTGCTGCTCAAGACAAATGTGCTAAGGATAATGGACTGTCATTGGATTCCTCATAATCTTATTTTCACCTGCTCATGTGCTGCACACTGGCTAGGAGGGCTACTAATGCACTTGGTTGCAGAGAAGCACATTCCAGGTTCAGTGACAGCTTTATAAAACCAGTATCACACCCTTTATGAAAATGCAAGACCAAAGAAACGCACCTAGATAAACATAGCAGCTCAGATATTGTAAGAAAATACCTTTAACAAGTTCCTGAGTTAGCAAATATTCTCACATGTTTTATATTAGGTTCACTATACTAGCACTAACCACAGCACAGCTGGAAATATGATGGTTGTTGAACACTGAATTTTCCCAATATATCACTGTTATAGAAACACCTGTGCTAAATAATTCCAAGCTCAACCACTGGCAATTCAACTCCAATAAACCCTGGAGTTGTCTGACTTGTTATAACCTAGGGAAGGGTTATAGCCCTGGTGGCAGGCAGGCTGGAGGCTTTACAGAGGGCAGGTTCCTGATCTCGGGCGGATTTTTCATTGTAGCTCTTCTACGGCACATCTTTGCTACTTGGTTTCCCAGGCACTTTTTTGTCACTTCACTTTGATTTTTTTCTTTATAAAAGCAATGCCATGGGGTCTATTTGGAGGACTGATTACTGGCCATGAACACCGGGAACCTGTTTTAATATGTTGCTACACTGAAATATACCTGCAACCAACAGAGGATACCCAGTAAATCCTACTCTGGGCGAAGGACTGATAGGCAGAAGGGACTCTATTCCAGGCCCATTAGTCCAAAAACTCTCTTGGACATGGTAACAGCAACCAAGGACACTCCTGGCTGCCCGTAAATTCAGTAAATTCAGTGTGTTAACACTACAGGACCAGTCAGGGTAAGTCATAGTAGCTTGTTTTCCGATGGCAGGTTGGTAGCTAGACAGGGAAACAAGAAGGAGGGATATGAGATTAAGTGGGACCTCCATTTTATTTGACAACTGTTTACATTGTCCCCTTGTATTGCTCTGAACTGATACTCCTGAGCATCAGTTATTTCATGTAACAGGAAACAAACTGTCTTTAAATGGAGAGATACTACCTGCACTTAGGCTTAGAGGTGTCTGAACTTGTTCAACTTAATTGCCTCCATTACCTTTTTTCAATGTGTTTCTTCAATACAGTAAAAAAGTCTCCCCTTGCTACATATTACATATTTTGTTTGTATGATCTCATCACTAGAACAGGTATCACAATGAAAGACAGGAAAAGTATTAATGCTGAAACGGTGAAGGGATTTGTATCTGACTTTTCGGTGCTTTGCCATTTGTATAGCCATTTAACACTGGGCACAGTGAACATACAGATCCTACCAAGCTGGGATGGCAGCCACTCTCTCCCCTTTAAAGTGTAAATGTCTTCACAGGGTACCAGTTTGGAGAAGGAAGCTCTGTAGGAATTTTTTTTTCCCCCTGGAGAAACCATTACTAATGACCCAGATGATCTGGAATCAGACCTGCAAAGCTGAGCATGTCAGCAGAAAGGTAAGATATTAGCACTTCCCTTTCTGGCTAAACCTCAACTTTTGTATTTTATATGAGTAACTGTATTACTTGACTTGTGGAGGACAGATATACCACAAACTGCTACATTATACCAGTTAATAGTTTATTTATGACACTCTATCCTGCATCTGCTTCTCCCCAGCCTACGTAACTTCACCAAATGGAGTAACAAAGGCCAAAGATCTTTGCCTATGTTTGTATTTCCAAATTCAACTCAAACAATCTGTGGGTCTGATCTACTCATCATTCTGAAAATACTTTGGATGTGTCAAAAGTTCGTCTAAATCACCTTATATTCTTTCTTTAAAAGGGCAACCATTTATTTCCACTTTGCAAAGGACTGCAGGCAGGAGCTGTGGGTATTTCAAGGCACACCTTTTGAAATCAATGCAGGAACAGCCTGTACCTGTACTCACTGGCTACTTACTTACCATCACAGTGTCTATGGTGTTACTCAAACAAGTTAAAGTACTTGCATGTAATAAGGCTACCAGTTCCTCACACTCCCTACCCACCCTATCACTGACTTTTGGGGGGCTGAGATCCTCAGCTGGGGGGAGCAGCTGCAGCTGACGTAGAGCAGCTGAGGACACAAACCATACGTGCCCACCTTCACCATTTTCTCCTTGGCGGGAAACCAGTGGCTTCCTCCAGAGCAGCCAGGGCTGATCATCAGCCAGCCATAGACTAGCATTACCACTTACCCATTGACCCATGCTTGACTAACTGCAAATCTTTACAGACCTGAGCTAGAAAAAGAGGTTTCATTCTCAAATACATCCCTACGGAGGCATGGCAACCTAGCTGCCATAACACATATCCATTTCCATCATCACTCACCTGCACAAGTGAGTATTTCCCACAGGGAGATGAGATGTGATACAGAGAATACAGTTAATTTTCTCAGGATTAATATTTAACAGATAACAGTATTAGTCTAACTAACTTCTAGCTCAAATATTTCAAATATTAAATGACTCGGTAAAAGCCTGCCAGCTGAAAGAGACACTCCTAGTCACAGAGCAGGCCTGGACTGTCAATTAACTGGAAAGCCCTATAGCTGTTCAGAATCTGCAAGCACTTTTAGCAGAAACCGGACTGTTTCTTAAATTCAGCAGAGCCATATCAAATGGCAACAAACATTCTGTCTCAAAGCTGCTCCGCAGTGCTGAGATAACACCAAGTCTTGTAGACTCTCAGCTGGCTAGAATGAAAAATTGTGACTGAATTTGCCATACACTGAGATTTGCCAATAATAAATTGCAGCAATGAAGCCAGAATTTGTGAAATTGTAAACAGAAAAGATGATGCAGCTTTTACATACACTCAGACTCAAAAGTAATGTTACTCGTTCACAAGACCCTCCTCTGCTGAAGGATCAGGCCCTTGCCATAAAAAGGAAAAAATGAATGCAAGTTCCGTTCGTATGGTGAGCTTTTAAATGCTTGTTATTTCACAATGCATTAGACAATTTTAAACAGTCCTCGACTTTGAATATTAAAATATGACAGAGCTCACAGTTCTAAATTAGTCTGATAAGCAACTTAATCTGTGCTAATTGGTTTTCAATGGTTCGATGATGCCTTCTTAGACTCTGGACTCATGTCATTATGTCATCTAATTTAATATGAAGTTCTGAGAACTGTGCATTGGCAGCAGCCCTGGCTATAAATCAAAGCTTCTTACTCTGAGAGACCAGGGTTATGACATCATACCAAGGCACTGGTTGGAAGACAATGGTCCTTCTGTGTGGCTGTGAATCTGGGAGAAATATTTCAGCCAGTTCTGCAAGCCCACGTTTAAATGAAAGGCCTTTCTAGCAGGTAAAAAGTTAATATATCAAACCTTGAA